GGGGGGGGGGGGGGGGACGCAAAGGGCCGAAGTAAGGTGCGAGGTTTGCCGGCGGAACAGCGGCAACATGTTCATGACCGCCACAGGCAGTACCGCCGACAGCAACAACGGCGATCATGACGACGACGGCAACAACCACAACAGCAACCACAACAGCAACAAAAAAAGAAACAACAGCAACAACAGCAACAAAAAAAGAAACAACAGCAACAACAACAGCAACAAAAAAGAAACAACAGCAACAACAACAGCATCACCAGCATCACCAGCACCAGCACCACCGACACAAGCAGCCAACAGCGTCACCTAAGCCGCCCCCCCTCACCGCCGTAGTGGGGAGCACGATGTACCGGACCTCCTCCCCAAGTTCCTCCACGAGGTTCACACACTCCTCGGTAGGGGCTACCGGGGCGTGAACCCAAAGACCGCCACCTTCCAGCCGCACGGCAGTCATGCGGATGTTGACGGAAACATTGAAAAACTCCTGAGGCTGTTGGTGTTCGTTGTTTGGTATATTTCGGGAGTTCGACGGGTCAGGTCGAGGCAGCAGAACGCGGGGCGAGCGCAGGGGTTCTTGAGCACGGGGCTTGGAGAACAGTACCGATTCCAAGCCAAAAGGGGGCTACAGGTTGCTGCCATTGTTGTTGCTATTGTTGGTAGATTGGTATTGTTGTTGCTGCTGTGGTGGTAGATAACAGAATTCGAAAAAACAGACCAAAATCTCTTTGCTCTACCCAGTACCACCTCGATGTTTCGAAACCATCCGGGTGGTGGCAAACACGGAACGCCAGACGGTCAGCTAACGCACTGCCTCTCGGCAACCGCGGAAACCGTGAGGTCATGACGCATCACGTCAGCGCATTATCGCAAAAGCTCTGGAAGGCGTTCCAGCCAGCAGGGGAAGACGCCTACGCATCTGAAAAAACGGGGTCAAACTGTTCACACTAGAACAAAAACAAAGCGCGGTTTCTCCCCCAAGGAACGCCCATGGTACCGTAGGTGACATGACACAAGCTATCACACCCCCGGGATCGACTTTTCAAAGCTCGATTACTCCATAGCGCAGGAGATTGGCGGTGCCGAAAGGGGCGGCGTTCGAACCGGCTTGCCGAGAGCTTTCCGGCAACGCAACGTTTGAGATTCGCACCGTCTTGTGCGTGGAGTAGTCGAGCTTCGAAAATCGGTCCAGGGTGCGTGGTATCTTACGTCACCTTAGCGCGAAAAAAAAAAAAAACACCCGTACCTGCTCAAAGGCCCACATGACGCCAGGGATCTCCTCCGTGCGTAACGTTGGCCTGCGGCAGGGGAAGGGAAGGACAGGGCAGGCGGGCAGATTGTCACAGGCCGGTTATGGCAAGACCGGGGCGCTAGACAGGTGGCTGCGTCGGCAGTGGCGGTGGCTTCCACAGAGGATTATCCTGGTCTAGTTTTTTGTCTACATGTATGCTACGTGCACAGGAGCGGGGAACGTGGTAGCGTGTTTCATCCTAATCATGTAGTTGCACGTCTGTCTTGCGGCAACAACGAGGGCGTTGGATGGATGGTAGTCATACTCCCTCCCTTGCATCACGTACGCTCCTCGGTCCATACCTCAAGCATGACATACACGTCTCATAACATAGATCAACGCTATCTCTCTCTGCCCCAACACCTGGGCAAGCAGCCTCCCCCCTATCTATTAGCAGCGGAGAATGTCATTGCGCACGAGGGATTTTGTCAGGTCTACTTCAGTGGGCGTCGTTTCGCCGAGAGCAATCAGGGCGAGATCGCCCTTCGCTATTGGAAATCGCATTAGAAAAAAGAAAGTGCGTCAAACAATATTCACACCTCGTCGCAACGAGATCTTGGCGGCTAAAGAAAAACGCAGCTAGCTGTAAATTTCCTCGCATACCTATCAAAGTAGGGCTTGAGAGGCAAGCCCGTCAGGAAGGGGTACTGCCGGTCGGGCCTCGCGTCCGTCCTCGCGGAGGTCTGCGTGTAGACCATGAGCAGAGTCTCCAGCGGGTTGAGCTTCCGCTTCTTTTCCAAGCCTTGCCGCTCCTGCTGAGAGTCGGCGGGTGGGGCACCACCGGCGGCTAGGCTTGTCTCAGCACTCCCCGGACGATGCCTGCTGAAACCAATACAATAGGCACGACCATACTAAAACCAGTACAAACGGGTCGCCAATACTAAATTATACACACTCGGGGAACCCATACGAAGACGTAGACACCCGAGCTACCTATACTTGAGCCAGTACAATAGCCGCACCCGTACGAAAGCTTTTTGGTTTGGTTGTGTTCAGGGCGCATGTATCGGTCGATCGGCATCGTCCCTGCGCCGTAGTTGCAACAAGGGCTGGGCTCTCCCGCTTGCGAAACTGTCGTGTATTCTACGCAGGTTGTCCAAGCAAGCAAACATATTGCATCAAGCATAGAACCCCCTAAGTTGGGGTTGGGGCAGTCCAAACTACTGTCGCCGGCCGAAGTGTATCGGCACGAACACGGTGCGGCGCAGCTCTTCGCTCAGTCTCTTCATTCTCATAGCCTACGCCATGACCCGTTGTATCTACTGCAGTACATTTGAGCCTCAGACACCACTGTGCAGTTAAGCGCGCTTGTACATCGCAGGCGTACTTACGGGGGCAGTAGCGTACGTCGCGGTGCAAGTTGTGCCGATTCGCGTACAATCCTGCTCTAGTTCTGGGTCCCTTTCCGTTGCGGACAACCCGCTTACAACTTATAGTAAAAGACAGCAGCGACAACGGACTGTAAAAACAAAGTCACCATGGACTGTATAACATGCGTTATCCACGTCCACGCGCGACTCGTTGTATTCTACGAACTTGAGTCAAGAGTCAAGAGTCAAGAGAGTAGATCGGGGGCACCGCAGGTGTAGACTAGATATAACAAAGCCCGTTCATTCATGATAAATAAACATGAACAGCCCAGCACCGCCCCGTTCCGAGCTACAAGGCGGTACTAGTGTCTGCGTCGTTGCATACGCGCACAGCTACCGGCTGCACGCTCCCAAGCACTCCCTCTTCCTTGTCTCTCCTTCTCTCTCTGTCTCTGTCTCTCTCACTCGGCCTCACCGAACATCCTGCTGGGATGACCTCTGACGACGTTGCACTCCTCGATTCTCGCGGCTGTCACCAGCGTTGAACTGAGGCGGGGTTGAGAAAAAAGCGGCACATACGCTGAGGAGGAGAAACAGCGAGGCAATGCTCAGCCGCCTCATGGCTCACACACGGCGCGATCTTGGCGTCTGTGTGAGTCTCAATTGCAGCCGAGATGGCAAACCAAAACCAAGTGCGGGGATGAAATGACCCATCCCCGTATTGTGAACCAAAACGCCAACGGGGCCATGACCCCAGGGGAAACATGAGCAACCATCCCCGGCCCCGCGCCCTACAAGCAATGTAGGTTCTCAGCGCGAACGAACATGGAATGCTGCATGCCGATGTTCGCGCGGACAGTTAAAAGGGAGGTTGCCTTGAGCGCTCTCGGAGATACCCTACCGCCATCGCAGACAACACCACCAAACCTCACCTCTTTACCTGCTGAACCCAAGGTCTGGCGCTTCAAGAAAAATCGAGCTGAATGCGGAGTGGCGCTCTATTTGCTGCAACTGCTACAACATGATGAGAGAGTAGGCGGATATTCGTTCGATACACAACCGTGACGTTGTAGACTATATCCCAACCCCACGGAAGAATGAAAACTCTCGTCCCATCACTACAACATGGCTCTTGTTGTAGAGGCATATAAGCGGTGATGGTGAAGCTTGGATCTGCATTCCATAGTTACGGTCGGACCAAGTGAGCTACGGGTATGGTATGTCCATTTGTTTTCGAGGTAGCGGCATGTGTATCGACAGAAGCGTATACAGTCTGATTGGATAGTTTGAATATCGGGACTGTCAAGCTGAAGAGTCGCCGTGTAGCCACATGTTATGAGAATATAGTGGAATGTTCTTGGTCCTTTCTCTCTGGCTGTAGGAATGTCCTTCGTGGATAGTACAATAGCCCGAGGATGTGTGATACGTAGGAAAGTGCATTGGTCCGTTCCATGCATCGGTACGTGTTCGGTGTATATGCGTGATCGGGCGGATGCCGAAGCGTGATGCTGCTGGGATGCTGTGCACCCACCCAGCTCACTCCACCTTTTGACCTGTTCTCCTGGTCCAAGCTCTCATCAATACAACATCTTTTCCCGAGAAGCCACGAGTTTATCAACACGCTATAGCGCAATCAGTCGACTGCTGGTTGTCCCCTCGGACTGTACGTCAAGACTGCACGGAGGAATATTGATCACCTTGCTTCGTGATGAGTGGGTCTGCCGGGGATCATGTGGATGACCTATCTCCGGGTGATTCGCAGGGTGTTATTGGTGGTGAGAGATTGGATTCGATTGAGGCACAGCTGTCCCAGCTCACGAGCATAATCAAGTCGCTTGTTGGGCAACGAGGTGATCAGGTGGAGTCCTCTGTTGGTGCTGCTGCGCCGGGAAGCGGCGGAACAGAGTACGGGGCTGGTGCGCATCAATCGGATGCAACCAGTGGGACTGCGGGAGGTACGGGCGGCGATGCCCCAGTCCTTGGCATGTCCAGCGTTGGGGTTGGGAGTAGTAGTCCTGCAGGCGCAGACTCAGGCTTGAACCCTGGTGCAACTGATGTTAATCGGGTTGGGAGTAGTGGTTAGACTCAGGCTTGAACCGGGATGCATCTACAGTAAATCGTTCCTCTGTTGGTGCCGCAAACTTTGGTTCGATCGGAATTGGTAGTGGGGCACCAGGTAGCCAGTCTTTCATTCCGCCCCCGTCTACTCCATCGAGCGAGTGGTGGGGACATGCCGCCAGTGGAAAGCTCGACGGGACTGATGTCTTGTATCCATCGTGGTCGCAGAACGTTTTGCTGGGTGCCGTCACAACAATCTGTATGAAGCGTTTCTGAAATTGCATGACATTCCGATTGCAGACATTGGATTAGATTTGACCCCCTTGGTAGACAAAGGATACAGCGTAGGCGTGCTGCGCCAGGCAGAGATGGTATGGTGGCTTCTGTTTGACTGCCTGAAGAGAGACTCCCTCAAAACCATGGCTAAGCATGCTGGATCCGCCAGCAAGGCATTTCGAGTGTTGAATGATCCCTTTCTTCCTTTGAGTCAGAGTCAGGTCCGTGTACAAGAAGAGAAACTCAAGTCGCTGCGTATGCGTCCGAATGAGAACCCCTCAACCTTCTTCGCGTCATTAAGAGAGACTATTGGAGTTCTGCAGATGCTTGAAGTTAAGAAGGATGACAGGGAGGTGTGTACCCTGATGCTCGAGGGACTATCCCAGGAGTACAAGACTTTGCGTGAGACTCTGGTAGTGTTTTGCCCAAACGACCCTGTGTTCATCGAGACGAACGTACGCGAGAGATACCTTCACTTGCAGATACAAGTGAATGTGAAGAAGCACAGTGTTGCTCTTGTGTCTAGGGGAGAAAAGACGAGTTGCAAGAAATCAAACCACTACAAGTCGAGAACTAACTCTGGATCTGATTCGCCCAGGAAAAAGTTCCAGGGGACGTGTTTCAAGTGTGGGGAGAAAGGCCACATGAGATCGGACTGCCTGGCTCGTGTGATCCCTCATCCCTCCCAGACTGGGAAATCCAAGGACGATGAGGATGAGAGCGGTGACAATTCTAACTTTATGTTGCGAATTCATGAAAGGTTTCGCATGCTGCGAAATCACAAGAGGTTACGACAATCGAAGTCTAGCTTCGTGATCCAATCTCATGACAATCTGCCAAAATCGTATGGTGCGCGTATGAAGGCATTTTACAACGAAGTGGTGAGAGAGAAATCGCGTAGAGATGGTGCTTTCCGCAAATATTTTTCTATTGCTAAGAAGGACAGTCGCATCGAAGATTGGTATGCGGATACGGGTACAGCTTTCCACATGACAGACCGTCTCTCTTGCATAAAGAATCTGAGGCATATGAACGTAGAAGGGATTGGTGGCGTGACTTGTGAGGTAACATTCTCTGGAACCCTGGAGTTGGTATTTGTGAGTCCTGACAGCGAGGTTTCTGTAGAGTTGGACAACGTATTGTACTCTCCCAACTTGGGATACAACCTCTTTTTTCCCAGTGCAGAGTTTGACGGTGAATCATGGAAATACCTTGGTGGTCCTGAAAGAGTGGTGACTGCTTTCGACGAACAAGTCACTTTTCATGAATTCGATGGTATGCTGATTGCGACTGTGTATCGTCTCGAAGATAATTCAATTGGTTCGGTGTTGGCATGAAACTAAGATGGATGTGAACGAGTTCCACAACATTTATGCTCGTACCCATGAGGGACTGCTTCGTACAACTGCAAAGCGACTGGGTACTGAGTTGACTGGTGAATTGAATGCTTGCACGGGATGTTCGATGTCGAAGGCATTCAGGAAAAAATTGCTCGTGAAACTAAACGCAGATCAGGCAAAAAGTTGGGCAGAGTTTTTGTTGACCTGGGAGGACGGAAGGACGTTGCGTCCGTAGGGGAGTAAACATTACCGTAAGTCGCGAGGGAAGGGATTGCTGTACCCTTCTCAATCTGGTTTGAGAAAATAGCACAATGTCAGACTTCTCACCATTCTTTTTTCCCAGCAGAAAATGTTTTGACCACAACGGATACGAGACAACATCAGTCTGGTCAAAAGCAACAGGAGCTATGGGAACTTCAAAAAGGGCTCCTACCCAACTTCTCTCCTGTGTCTGAAATGCCGGCCCCAGGGATCAGTGTGTTTCCACTGGCGGCATGTCCCCACCACTCGCTCGATGGAGTAGACGGGGGCGGAATGAAAGACTGGCTACCTGGTGCCCCACTACCAATTCCGATCGAACCAAAGTTTGCGGCACCAACAGAGGAACGATTTACTGTAGATGCATCCCGGTTCAAGCCTGAGTCTAAGAGACCACTACTCCCAACCCGATTAACATCAGTTGCACCAGGGTTCAAGCCTGAGTCTGCGCCTGCCTGCAGGACTACCACTCCCAACCCCAACGCTGGACATGCCAAGGACTGGGGCATCGCCGCCCGTACCTCCCGCAGTCCCACTGGTTGCATCCGATTGATGCGCACCAGCCCCGTACTCTGTTCCGCCGCTTCCCGGCGCAGCAGCACCAACAGAGGACTCCACCTGATCACCTCGTTGCCCAACAAGCGACTTGATTATGCTCGTGAGCTGGGACAGCTGTGCCTCAATCGAATCCAATCTCTCACCACCAATAGCACCCTGCGAATCACCCGGAGATAGGTCATCCACATGATCCCCGGCAGACCCACTCATCACGAAGCAAGGTGATCAATATTCCTCCGTGCAGTCTTGACGTACAGTCCGAGGGGACAACCAGCAGTCGACTGATTGCGCTATAGCGTGTTGATAAACTCGTGGCTTCTCGGGAAAAGATGTTGTATTGATGAGAGCTTGGACCAGGAGAACAGGTCAAAAGGTGGAGTGAGCTGGGTGGGTGCACAGCATCCCAGCAGCATCACGCTTCGGCATCCGCCCGATCACGCATATACACCGAACACGTACCGATGCATGGAACGGACCAATGCACTTTCCTACGTATCACACATCCTCGGGCTAATGTACTATCCACGAAGAACATTCCTACAGCCAGAGAGAAAGGACCTACCCTACGGACCAATGCACTTTCTATATATGGCTAATGTACTATCCACGAAGAACATTCCTACAGCCAGAGAGAAAGGACCAAGAACATTCACTATATTCTCATAATATTTGGCTACACGGCGGTTCTTCAGCTTGACAATCCGATATTCAAACTATCCAATCAGACTGTATACGCTTACACATGCCGCTACCTCGAACAGTGTATACCAGCGGCAACATTATCGTGATTCTCACGGTCTACAGAGTCGACATTCTCATCACGGGAGGAGACCAGCAGCTCGTGGACCAGAAGAAGAAGAAGCGTAAGGAATTAATTTTCGATACGATGCCAACGGAGGGGTCAGGTAGAAATGGATATGGTGATGCGGTTGACCATTGTGAATCAGTTGCTTGATCGAGGGGTCGTGTCAGGAAAAATCGTGCGTCGAGACCACCAGTAGTCGGACACGGTTTGACCTTTGAATACGATTGCAGCAACTAGTCTGCGTAGCAGTAGAAAAGAATCTATCTCTCCGTGGCATGCGCTCTCTTGTTCTAGAAATATTCCGGAAGCATGCTAGGTCAAGGTCGACCGGGACCTCTACGTAGAACGTGTGCAGCTTCTGGAAACCTTCTCGAACCTTCTGGAACTTTCTGCAAGCTTCTGGAAGCGTTCTAGACCTAGGTTGCACTTGACACTCGTCTAAAACGTAGGAGGGCTTCCAGAGTCATTCTGGAAGCATTCTAGATCTTTCGTGTGATTGGCTTATTTGTCCGGAATTCACCGAGAGAGAGTGGTGCAGCCCTAAGTGTTACGGTTCGGGGTATTCATTGTTCCCCAAGTACACCCCCACAGAGAGAGGTAGTTGGTCGCATTCAGCGGAGCCTCTGCAAGAGCTGTCTGGACTCGCCCTCCTCTACTCACAACCAAGCTATACCATCCGGAGCTTACCCTAAAAGAATAAAACCGTAACACCCATAAGGAGGCCTTTGCTCTGACACTACACCTGCCACTACAGCGGGTAAGAGTATCTTCACTACTCATCGCACTCGGTACAACAGTCGTTCTTTTGCGCAAAGAGAGGTCAGTGTGTGTGCATCGCTGAGTGAGAGGGCTAGAATACCTCTCCGGAGCAACAGTAATTCCCTTTTTCGCACCAGAAGCAGTGCCCTGATCGGGAGCTATCTGATACTTGCTGATTACACGCATCGCATTAAACCTCCACCGCTACGTCCTAACGACTCGTTACATGGTGTACAATTCGTGAGCACGCGCTCGCGCGCGTGTGAGCTCTGTTGCTGTATGCTTGTATCCCTTTGCCGCTCTGCTGCTTCGCTGTGTTCCCTTACAAATTCACGGCTGCTGTGTGTGGCCGTTCCATGAGATTCCTGTTGTCAAAATCCATTGCATTTCCCCTAGCCATGCTCCCTTGCGTGTGGGTACGCGCGCGATGTGTTTCTCGGCGTGGGATCAAGCACTCGCTTGTGAGTGTACGCTGCTTTGTCCCAGTGTACGTTTAGGCCATACCACCAGCGATTTTGGCGGGCTGGCATACATGGTGCGTCACCGTGCGGTTGCCTCCACATACATACTACGTTCATTTGCACGCATTGATTGCGCATCATCGGGGCGCTAGTTCCCGGGATGCCTGCTTGTGATTCTAATTCGGCCCCAGATGAACGCTCTCTCCTTTGGACGGCCACAGGTGGGAAGTACTCGAACACACACAACACACTGCTCGCCTCACCCGTCTTTACCGTTGCCGCGTACTCGAAAAAGCCAACGATTGATATAATGAGCGAATAGAGACTGGGCATGATCGCATGGAAAGACGGGGCAGCCAGCAGTTGTGTTGTGCGTCGCAATCTCCCAGGCCAGGTGTTCCCGTTTGCTCTCGATGCCCGCGCGCCGTCCGTCTGCTGTGGTTTGCGTGTACACCTGTTTGCTCGTGCGTTGTTTTTCTAGACTATACTATCATTACTCCGTCTGAAGACTCCGTGTCATTTAACACGCGTTGTACGATAACCAGGCCGAGTTGATGAAGTTGTACCCGATAGGAAAAACTTGTTTTCTTGACTATACCAGTATGGACCACATCATCTATCATTACTCCGGCTGAAGAATCCGTGCGTTTTAACACGCGTTGTACGATGATCAGGCCGAGTTGATGATGTTGTGCCAGATAGGTCAAATCCGATACATACGTCTCCATGAGCCACTCATATCTCTGACCGCCAAAAGCACATCTTCAGCACGATTTGGCGCATAGAGGGGGGGGTGGTGTTTTTTCCATCTTTTATTACTTTTTTTTTTTCTCTCCTTTATTAGCAGTATTTATTTATTCTCTCTCCTTTCGTTTCTTTTTTCCTTCTTAAGTTTTTTTTTTCTCTTCTTTAGACTAATATGCATATTTATCTTTTTCTCTCCCTTAAAGGGAGGGGTGTACTCATAGTCGTGCATGCCGTAGTCGTTAGACCATTGACCTTGCATCCCTACAAGGTCGGGACGGAGCACGCCGGGTTCTCACCGGACCAGGTTCTCACATCACCAAGCGCGAAGCGCCGTGAGATATTCGGCGAGTCGCATGAAGGGTGCGCTGCATCCTGCTAAGGGTTTTCGGCATCTTGTGCTTACTTCCTTGCGTACGGATGACAGCTGCGTATGACTTAATTTATTTTCTGGTGCTTTCACTTCCTGAGACAGTTGTAAGCACTGTGTAACTGCCTCGAGGGTGCTTGACCATTTTAACACAACGTGGTGCGATCATCCCCCTTGCGCGGAGTGAGGGTTCTCCACCCCGCACAACATGATCTACTCGACCACCATTCATTAGTCTATGGTTACCGCCAAAAAAAAAAGAGGAAAAAAAAAACCCGGTAACCTGGTTGCCGTGTTCAAGAAGTGAATTGGCTTGTTTTACAACGTCGTTGCCAAGCGACGAAAACCCAA